ACAATTACAGTAGTTTATTCGTGTTGCCCCTTTATTCTTATGTGGAAAATTAGAATTGAGGGTCAGCACAAATAGACTACTGTTATTGTAAGATCTTATCAATAGGAGTAAGAACACATCAATTAAGTGAAAATAAGTAGAAATTAGAAGAAAAAAAAAAATCGAAACACACGGAAAAAAGTCCATGCCCACCAACTCATGTGGTTTCACTTACAGACGAAAAAGTTGACAGGCTAAATATGTCGTAGTTAAAGGATTTTAGTTAGTAACTTGTGCAGATTTTGGTTCGGAGAACGTGCTGAGTGCTGAGTGTTCCTTCGAAGGAAGTTTGAATTTATTCGAAAAATACCTATATGGTCCGGCCCGTTACTAACCAAACGAGTATATATTCATATGGTCCGACCATACGCGAATGGTCGGATCATATGGGTATACGCATATGGTCATGACCATACGCATATGGTCCAAATACTCATATGGTTCGGAAAATATACATAGCAGTTTAAAGATTTCTCTCACGTTAAAATTATACGACAAACTCATCCACCGTTCAACTGCAGCAAAAAAAAAATTTGATTGTAGCCACCAGATAAATAACAAAATATTATAAAACACCCCTTCAAGCATTGAAGTGTAAAAATTCCTTGTGTTGGATACAAATGAAGGTAACATTATGTTTTTTATGTCTTTTGCAATCATAGAAATATTCAGAGGTATTGAAAGATTATAAGTAAATGGAAAAACTTAAAACAAAAACCAAGCTCTTATATTCGTATAATTAAAAGTTAGAACAAATTCTACACTCAAACAAGAGAACATTTACACAATTCTGTTCATTAAAATTCTATTACGACATCAATTTAACAGATACGTGTATATATATATAGATTCTTACATTGATACCAGTGGATTATCGGATTTATCCAATCGAGAAAGTTAAATTATCAATTTTTAAGTCCAAGCCTCGGCGAGGACTTTAAAATTTATAATTTAACTATCGAGATTGGATAAATCCGATAATCCACGAGTAACTATGTAAGAATCTGTTTCTCTAATGACTAAAAAATAAATTTTCATTTTTTGTTAAACAAAAATCCCCTTCGAGTGCCTTCCAAATTTCACAAAGTTGTCAATTTCATTAACACCTGTTAGCATATTTTGATTCATTCAGTTAGCTGATTAAGGTTATGACCCTTAAACTCGTCCAATCATCTTCTGAGATCACCGGCAACCACACGTTGATTTATTTTTTTTTATACAATGAGTGCAGAAAGGTATAAATTGTCATAGAATTAGAGAAATGATAGTAAGACATCAAGGAATAATCCGACTAACGGCCTTCATTGGTATTTGGATAGAGCGGTAAGGCAAGAGTTGACGTTAAGTATAAGCCTACGGTCTTTATTTCTATTTGCATAGAGTCATCAGACAGTTTAACTTATACTTTTTTGCGAATAATGGCTTTTATTGATATATGAGAGGGAGCCTTATCATCCTTTCTCGGTTTGTCAATGGATTTATTCAGCCAAGCCGGTTTTCAATAGTTATGTTCTACATTAGAAAACCATGTTTGAGTACGAGTTATATGTATTAATAAGACATAAATTAAAACAGTCATTTAAAGTAAAGAATCACAGGTAAATAGATATAAGGAGATGTGGTATGAGTGCCAATGAGACAATTCTCCATCCAAGTCAAAATTTATAAAAGTAAACCATTATAGGTCACAGTACGGTCTTCAACACGGATCCTTGGCTCACACCGAACAGTAAGCTATAAAGGGCCCCAAAAATTACTAGTGTAAAACCATTCAAACGGGAAAACCAACGGTCTAATCTATTTAAAAAACGAGAAATGAGAAACACTTATGAACCACATCAACAAACGACAACTACTGAACATCAGATTCCTGACTTAGGACAGGTGCAAACAAATGCAGCGGGTTTATACGTTTTAATGGTACCAAACCTTCACCCTTTTTCTGAAACAATAGTGTAACATCACAACATAGAAAGACATACTATAAAATATCAACTGAAATAGCTTAACTCAATCAAAGGACATATTAACACCATTGAACATACACTGAACAAATACATTTGACCTATGATACAATGTAAATACAAAATAAATAAACTAAGGGAATAATAATAAAAGTAACATGTTATATCGGTATGAAATGTTAAACAATTAAAGAAAAACAATATGATCGAACAAAAATATCAGCCATTTGCAATAACTTTAAACACAGGTAAATGAAAATAATTTTGTTGTTAGGTATACGTGTACAGTTCAAATAGAGAAAGGAAATATTTTTACAAAATAAATAATTTTGATGTTCATAGTACGAAGTGAAAATTTATAGTTATACCAAACACTTATCAAAGCTGGTATATAGACCAGATATAACCCTGAATAACATTAAATAACAAAAAAGCAATACAATTAGTATCAACAGGTCAAATAAACAAGAAAGTACGATTTGAGAGTACTCGCAGTTACTGACAGCTAGTTAAAAGCCAAAACAATTAATAATAAAAAATCATGCATCAGAGACTAAAATCAACTAAAATACATCCCATGGATTTAGTATTTTAACGTCATGGACAGTCAAAGAAGACATGACTAGTGCAATGCCAAAAATAAATGTATCGACAGACAGTAGGATAGTTAGGAGTTTAACCTCTTTATAGATCAAAACGAACGTGGGTGTGTCTTTATACATCCCGTTTGAAAAGAATACAAATTTAGTTATGTTTTAATTTGCTGATGACAAAATCGATATTAGTGCCAATGTAAACTATATTCAAAGATCTAATTACAACATTGGTAAGATAACCTTTACTAATAAGTTTGTTTAAAGGTTCGATGAGTTTACACGGATCACATAGTGATTTCCGCGCTTTAAGTACAATATTACCGTAAAATTTAGGATGTGAAATACCGTTTTTAATCAGTTTTCTACAAGTACAGCCAAATTTACTAATCAAATCTTTGTATCTATGAAAGAACTTAGCAAAAGTTTTACGTAATTTATGGTAACGAAATCCCTGATTTAATAATTTACCAGTGATGCATTGATTACGTTCGTTAAAATCTATGACATCACTACACACACGGGCATAACGAACGAGTTGGGATATATAAACACCGTATGATGGAGCCAAAGGAACATCGCCGTCTAAAAAGGAAAATTAACAATAGGGAATGAAAAAGCTTACATTACAAGAAGAAAAATATAAAAAAATGCCCGAATAAGCTGTATACTGATATCATTGTCCAATTAAAAGAATCGTGCAACTTTTTACTATTTAGTGTATGCATGAATTAATAATACATAAATTGTAAAAGCTAAAACTCAATTATTTCGTTCAATGCATTTTTTCTATTGATTTTTTCTTCGTTTATTTCCGGTAATTGTTTCGCTAATTGTAAAGAATGACATTTTGGATGGCCATTACTTAATTCGTAACGAGGAAGAAGTCGTCAATATAAGGCAATATTTTCTGTCATTGTAAATGTAGACATTCCTTTTCCAGTTTTTGCACAAAAAGCGACACACATAAGACCAATTCATTGGTTTTAATTTAATTTCATAAAGCCTTTCATCTGTGATCTTTAAATCGTTCATTTTGAAGATTCTATAGCATTTATTTTTGTTTTCCTTTTGATCATATACCAAAGTATTCGTTAACACTTCATTAAGTAGCCAAAACAAGTATTAGAAGTACATTTTATTTGTTTAAAATAAGTATAAATACCATATAATTATAGTTGTTGTTATTGTAAAAGTGCATAATTCAAAATTGAACTTTTTCTCAATTTACAACAGTGTCGAATGTGTTGAGATAGAAAGGGACACGAAATAAGAGGAGGTAAATGTTGGGGCTTATTTGACCCTGCTTATTCACCTAAAATAAAACACGGTATGAGTCTATTACATCACAATTTTTAACTTTAAAAAATGTGCATACAAGCCAAGCTTGAATAACACAATTTCACATTGACGACATTTAAGGACGTCATAAGCGTGATTTTCCGATTTTTTGCAAAATATTCTAATCTTAAGATCATTTGACTTAAACTAATATGGAACAGAATGCATATTAAATACTGTAGATTTTTTTTGGGGTTGACGGTTGTGCTTTATATTTTAGCCTAACTGCAATGTTTTATTAAAGTACACATATTTAAAATTTTTGAAATATCTTAGATCTATTGACTATTTGATCCCAAATTGTACCTTCTTCTTTGTCCCTTCTTATCTAAAACTTAGTGTAACTGAGTGAACCCTTCGAAATGCATTTTATAGTTTTCTGTACGTAAAAATTAGGTGACTGGAAATTGTCTTCCTTCCTATAAAATAAATAGGACAAACTGTTCTTAATATTACAGATAAAAATAACATAAAAGACCCTTTTTTGTACACTATGTAATGAACGAATCGATCAAAATGACGGCGACTGAAAGAAAAGATGTAAAATGCTAATTCTGAATAATGACAAGTAATTCATTGGTAATGAGCTAGTCGTTATTGTACGTCATCTCTTAATCACTATTGAATGACCAAAGACATCCTGTTGATTAAATTGGTGTCTTGTGAAACAAAGTATCCAGTTAACCTTAAACTTATTCCATTTAATGGTTGTATAATTGAAATAATGACAGAAATATATAAATGAGTCTGGAAAATATACCAAATAACAAGACGCATCCTTTGTTGAAGTATTATGCTATTTGATCAACATTTACTAAGTGCGTATCAATGAAACTCTATAAAACGCAATTACTTATATAATCTAATTTGTAAATCTTGTATCTATCTTTCAATTTAGCAGATTTATTTATTGCAAAGCATTGCAGGATAGTTTCATGTAGTAATTTATGAATAATCTTTGTTTTCTGTCAAATGATAAATATATTTTTCTCGTGAACTTAAAAAAGAAGTTCACATTTTGTTGCATTCATTGTTAAATCACATGTGCGATTTATATTTTCAGATAAAATGAACTGAGTTAAAAGACTTAAATCAGCCATGCCGGATAGACATTTTATGGAAACGATTGAAGACTTTATGAAAACATTCAAAAATAATTCACAAAATTTATCAGCAGCTCATGCCTTTATTCTTCATACGGCAAATGTAACAGGCAACTCAAGCTCGAGTACAAAAGGACATAATGAATCTGGCGATATTATAAGGAACATTTTGCTTGTATTAGCGTATGGAACGTTGACTTTCATCTCCTTGTTTGGTAACAGTATCGTCTGCTATGTTATCATTCGAAACAAAAGGATGTACACAGTTACGAATTTCTTCATTGCTAATATGGCAATGTCGGATTTGTTGTTGACTTGTTTTAACGTTCCGTTTAATATAGCAAAGAACTTAGTGACTGAATGGCCATTTGGAGACTTCCTCTGCCATTTTGTTAATCTATCCTTGATGGTATCGGTATATGTGTCAACGTTCACACTTACGTCTATTGCGTTAGACCGTCAAAGGGTAATTTTATATCCTTTGAAACCGCGGATAACTAAACCAGTTGGTTTGGGTATCCTGGCAGTTATATGGATAGTCGCCATTTTGTTCTCATTGCCTTATGGAATTTACAACAAAGTTCAAAATGTAAGTTGGTTGACAAAAAATGTACGACGTTGTCGACAATCTTTTCCTGAGCCGGCGGAATTGTTTGAACAATGTTTGACTTTGATAACTATGATACTTCAATATATCATTCCACTTACAATTATTGCCATATCATACGGTAGAATCGTAAGAAAACTTTGGTTAAGGAGCAGTCTAGGTGCTGTAACTCAAAATCAACAAGTTTTACATGCTAGGGCCAAGCGAAAGAGTATAAAACTTTTGATAACAGTCGTTGTTGTATTTGGATTGTGTTGGATGCCAATAAATCTGTATCACTTACTGACAGATTTTCATCCAAATGCTGCAATTTTTCATTATGACAGTACAACGTTTTTCATCTTGCACTGGATAGCGATTAGCAGCACGTGTTATAATCCTTTTGTGTACTGTTGGTTGAATGAAACTTTCAGAGCGGAAGTGAAATCTTGCTTTGCATGCTGTAAGCGGCATAGGCGTGTACATCCGGGTGTTGAAATAGATGGAATACTACTACGTTCTGATAAGTTAAACAGTTATAGAAGTAAAACTTTCACAAGCATGGTGCGCTCAACGTCAAATTTCAGTTCAATTAAAATACACAAAATTGACAAGGGCGAACGAGAACAGGCATTTTTAGCTCGCGATGCGACGCAGTTAATTGAAAGAGACACATCTCCTGCGGCCCCAATGATTAAGACTGACGACAATCAGAACTCTACGTTGCAATGATACAAATGGAAAATAATTCACTGAAATAAACCCGACTCATAAAATTTCAGAAAACAGTGCAACTAAAGCAGTGAAGGCTGAGTATAGATTCATATGATATTTGAATAAAAACAGAACTTGTAATTAATGGCAATTTTTAAATAATGAAATGGCAGTTGAAATTAAAGGTATGCTAGAGGTATATTGTGTTTGTATTTTACATGTAACGATCTCTTGTTTTAATTAAGCAATATTTTAGGCGACCTCACACATAACATAAGGCTGTGAGAGGTACTATCATCAAATCAGTATATTCTGTCTTGCATGATTATGAATTAATCTGGACGGAACCCATCATTTGTTATTTCTTAGGAGTTTATGTTTTCTATCATCTCCTTATTCAAAATGTATTGCCAATTTACCTGAAGCTTCGCCGATATGATTGCCTTTACTACAGCAAAATTAAAGAGTAAAACTTATTCTACTACAAAAACAGTATAAAAAGGGCTATAGCTTGGTGGATAAGTCTTACGGAGGTTCCCCTTTCGGAATGTGTTTGTTACCACCAATGGTTGCTACAAGTAAGAGTGATAGAAAGTATTTGTGGGAAAATAATAAAGACAAATGGGATTAAATAAATCACATTTGGCATATACCCCTTAGACGGCCCATTTCCATGAATAGATTACCTGAGCTGTATTTAGCAAAACCTTTCGGAATTTTGGGTCCTTAATGCTCTTAAACTTCGTAGTTTATTTGGAGTTTTTAACTTTTTTGATTCGAGCGTCACTGATGAGTCCTTTGTAGGCAAAACAGGTAGTTAATTAATCTGATATCTGACAGTATGCATACGTAAAACGGATTTCAGAACACGTGGACAAGAAATACAAGAAATACACGTTGTTAGACAAATAAAAAGCAAAATCCACAAATTTGATAACAGATGTCAAACAATTAGTTCAAACTCAAAGTAGAATTTTTGGGTTTTAAATTTCCGTAGCCACTAAACGTTTAAAGATATCAGTCGTGCAATCTTTCGTGTCTCTTTAGTTAATTACGAATGACAGGTTTGATAAATATTTCCATTCCTCTTCGCAGAATAAATGTAAGAAAATTGTATAACAAGAATAAATTACTAACTATACACACATCAATTATTGGGTTTTTGTTTTTGATGTTTTTGTGTGTAAAAAAAATCCTATTTACCAATTTTCAAGACATGAGAAATGGTTGTTTCAGGTACTCAAATTTTGTTTTTATATTCCAACTCTGCTGCAATGCAGCTTCTTTGTATTCATCTTGACCGTCCATCCATTTTTCGGAAGTTCAATCAAAACATAGTTCCGTCACACTTTACTCAGTAACTGCTTAACAGAATGACTTCATATTTGACCAGCAGATTGACAATGACGGGTCGTAACGTGTGAGAACTTTTCGGATTTTAGAATTACAAAACAGAACAAAGGAGTAGGCCCGATAAGACCCCTTTTTGGCTCCAAAACATAGCATTTTTGCAATTTGTTTAAAATGTAAACCTTTAGCTATTTATTGGAAAGTAAAGTACTTAAGTTTCATAAAAATGGACTGTTTTGACAATACAATGCACATTCATCAAGTACTAGCATCAGTTGCTCATGTAAAATGACTGAAATCTTCACAATTTTAGCATTTGTGCTTATTTTGAGACTGTTTTTCTCTAAAATGAAAGTGCCGCACTTGTGTACAGTCTAGATATTTAAATACATGCTGTATTTGATGATTTATACATAACATAACTGAAAAGTGACGTTTCATGGCATATTTGATAAATTTTTCATTTGAAGCTTGAATTTTAGCATCTTTAATGACCAAATCAGTTCAAATCTCGTACATAAACTAATTGAATCGAACGACGTAGACACTTTAGTGTTTGAAAAATGTCGAAAATCTTTCATCAGATGTACTTCAAATTTTCTGCCAAAATTAGCCCTTACCGGACCTCCTCCTTTCATATTTATTCAACAGCTTGGTTGTGATAATTTGTAACGTGTGAGCAATTTCCGGAACTGTCAGAAACCCACTTCCTGTTTGCCCATACTTTGAATTGCGAGTAGGGTTATGCTTAGCACGACAAAGCGCATACGTATTCTTGTTATCAAAGACGAAAACATATAAATTACGAAAGAAAGACAAAGTTTTTCAAGTGATATTTTTATTTTTTTCAATTTCACGTATATTGATGATGTCAAATACTGCTACAGTAGGGTTAAGAAGTAGAACGACTAACATCGACACTATAAAAGTCTCCATCTCTGACGAGTTGAGAATATTAACTCAAGAAAGACATATTTTTCACGTTTTTTTTCCTTAAGATAATAGAATAGTCGTTTGATCTGTAAATTAACCGTTTGTTTCCTATTCCCTATCTCGACTTTTTGTCAGTCTAGATATCGGCACTACATAAGTTAATTACAGTCACAATCATGCATTGTGCACACGATACGATATGTCTGTGTCTAAATAAAGGCAACAGTAGTATACCGCTGTTCGAAAGTCATAAATCGATTGAGACAAAAACAAATCCGGGCTACAAACTAAAACCGAGGGAAACACATCAACTATAAGAGGAAAACAACGAAACAACAGAAACACTGAAGTGAACAAAAAACAAACGACAATGCAACGCACACAGAAACGAACTATAAGATAACAACTGCCATTTTCCTGACTTGGTACAGGACATTTTAAGAAAAAATGGTGGGTTGAACCTGGTTTTGTGGCTAGCCAAACCTCGCACTTTTATGGCAATGTTAAATATAACACTAAAATGACACCATTACATGACAGGGATACAGTTCAAATAAATGCAAGAACATTCAGGACAGAGAAATACACAAATAAACAATACAATAGTACATTTCGACATGCTATCCGCAGAATAAAAACGAACATGCAAAACAACATAGGACAGCACACAAAACAGCACAACAGAACTACGAACTGTCTTTCACACGACTGGGTCAACACCACAAAGTGACGTCACAAGTAAATTTCTAAAAAAATATAGAATTCTGTTAGTAATTAGATAAGTAATTGTATGTTCTAGCTATGTCGGTATTATTTCTAAATCAAACTGTAAAACAAAAAGTGTACATATAGTTGCTTTAAACTAAAATCTTAGAAATGAACTGGGTGATTAATTATCTTTACTTTTACATACGAATAGAAAATAAGAAAAGGGGATAGAATTACACCTACAAACGATAAGACATTTAACAATATCCGATCAGAATTGCAAATACAACATCATAACTAAATACATGAATGTTGGATAACAAATACCGCGACACGTCTTATTGTAATGCGAATTCACACTCAGCAAAACAGTCATATTCGGGAATAGGTCATGTTCGGTACTTAAAAGACCAGACGACGTAAATGGTAATACACAATCTAAGACGTGGTAAAAATGTCCTTAGTTAGTTTAGACACAGACACATCGTATGGATCAACCAATTCGTGATGGTGTCCATAAAATTTACGGAGTGTCATTTTTAATCTTTCCTCCTCATAACTTTGTTGGAGCAGTTTCTGCATAAGGAACACACTCCTGTATATGAAGTCCGTATAGTGTGAACATGCACGAGCATAACGTATCAACTGAGATATGTGAGAGAGTGTGAAGTCGTCCATCTGTGTCAATATTGAGGAAAAGATCAAGGTATGAAGCAGTCCTTCTAGTATCAGTAGTATCCTTAATTTCGAGTTCACTGGGATATATGAGATGTAAGTATTGGCATAAACATGGGTTATTCAGTGATAGGACATCATCAATATATCTGAAAGTAAACTTAAACTCACTAGCAACATGTAATCGCAGTCTTAGATACCAGAATAGTCGTCTAATCTGTAATTGTTTTCCGATTGTGCCATTTTGACTAAGTATGAATTCGCATTGCTGGCGATGCATACATATCAGGAAACACTTACCCTGTCGACTCACCTGATCTTGCTTCTGTTCATGCGATTCCGTCAGTTTTTGTTTGTTATATTGATTTATCATCTTCGTCTATTTATGAGATTTAAACATCGATGAACTACTGTTGCCTTTATCATTATAAAAATAAGGAGATGTGGTATGATTGCCAATGAGACAACTGTCCACCCGAGTTAAAATGAAGTGGTAGTAAGCAATTATTGGCAACCATACGGCCTTCAACGATGAGAAAAACCCGTATTGTCGGCTATTAAAGGCCAAGACATGGAAAATATAAAACCATTCAAACGAGAAAACAAATGGCATAATTCATAACAAAACATTTTTAGAAAAACAAATATGACAAATATAAACCAAAGACAACAAGTAAACTACAGGCTCTTGGCTTAATCTTGGGACAGGCACACACATAATATGGCGGGGTTAAATGTGCTTTTGATAGTTAAACCATCCCTCTAACCTTGGACAGAGGTGTTACAGCACAAAAAAAAGAACAAACTGTAAAAATCAGTTGCAATTTGCTTAACTAAAAAAATCGGAACAAGGCACAATACCACTAACATAAAGAAAATAGACACAACGCACCGAAATAAAAGTACTCGCAGCGACTGAAAGATAGTCCAAAGCCAATTACAACTAATATATCATGTTCTCCCGGACTATAGTATCAATTAGTACACACCCAACGGTTTCAGTGTAAAGACTTTATGATCAGTCTGAGAAACGCATGACCTTGTGCAATGCCAAAATATAAGTAACAGTATCGACAGGATGTAGGATCATAAGTTCACATAACTGTACATATATAGCGATATAGCGATATATATTAAGTTATGTTTTATTTTTTTAATAACACAATCATTATTAGTACCGATTAAGCATGCATGACGCACCCATTAAAGCTCCTTTTGGGGTTGATCAATATCACTTGGTTTGTTTATTCAAATAGACCAATGAGACTTGAACATTGGTATATTACCGTTATATCTTTTTTTTTATCGTACACATCTATATCATTTATAATATAACAATTATCCGAAAATATGTAGTTCGGCAAGAATTTATAGAGTTCGAAATCCTAAAAGGTTTGATGAATGATTATACTTAATTCAATGAAAACATAATAAATATTACAAATAAATATACTTGTCTACCATCTACATGTAAGCATGGTGGAAAAAGACAAAGATAAAAATTGGCGACGTGGTCTGTTTTTTTTTCAATGA